TGCTGAACACTCGTCGTGAATTACTTTACTTCATTGTATCAACGCACTTGATTTAATATCTATTATTGTTCATTAATAAACGAACATTACAACATCATTTTAAGGTGCATTCTCTGTGTTTTACTTCACTTGCTCGAGTGAGCTAGCAATTTCCTCAGATTGTTCTTTCATGGATTTTAGATCTGACTGTAGTGTCTCAATAGTGTCTTGTTGTAAACATTGTGCAGAGTTTTTTTTCCGCAGCATTTCATTTTCTTGCTTTAATGACTGATTTGCATTTTTTCTTTAACAATTTCTTCTTCAAGAATAAAATATTTTGCATTCTTGTCACTGTTGAATTTTTTTTTTTTGAAAGTCTTTAAATCTTGAAGTTTTCATTTTCAGATTTGAGTTCATCATTGTCTGTAATGCTTTTCTGTATTTTGCATTCAAATCTCCTTGTATGTCACATTGCACAGAGAAATCACATTTTGCTATACATGTACATGGAGTGTTTGCAGAATCAGATACTTATGATACAGTGCTGCTTCTGATGCATGAATTTGATACACTTTTTGTGTCACTGTTTATTTCAAAGCTTTCATCCTCATTAATTCTGATGATATATTTCACAAAGGTCCTCTCGTGTTAGGGTTTTAGATATGTTTTATCACTGTGTTTTTTGCTTTGCGTGATTTTGGGCTGTTTTTCAGTGTAATTTTGATTGTATTTTTGAAGTTTAAATTGATAGGATCTGCACTTTTACATGGATAGTTCCCTTGTCTGGATTTTTTTCTTTTGATGTTGACTGAATTTCTTTTATTTTCTTACTGAAATATTCATGTTCCCCTTTCTTTTCAGCCTTTTCTGCTTTTTTCTTTTCTTTTCCAAGTTTTGGCATATATTTGTCAAGTGGTGGACCAAAGATTACATTTGATACTTAGGAGGCTGCTGGATTTTCTCTTAGAGACTGGTTTCCTTCTTTGAGGCTCAGGGCTGTTTAACGTGGTTTCATTTCTGCATTCAGTTGATTGTGTGAGTTCTATATTGAAAATAATTTACTGTTTGAGGTGGAAATAATAGCCGTTTATTCCAAGAATTCCTATTACGATGTTTGACCCTCAGTCAGGACAGTGGTTCCCAGCTCCTCAAAAATCACATAGAGATGGTCATGAAAGTAATTCATTTAATATTTACAATCCTTCCATCTTGTTCTACTATTTGAGTTTCATTTAAATATCATTTAAAGACAGAAACATTTTGTCCATTTTGCAAGTGGACAATTTTGAGTGAGAAAAATATGTTTGAATAATATAGTTTGTCAGCATAATGTATAATTATAAGATGAAATCATTTTTGCCTACTTAAAGTGTAATAATTTTCTAATTGGAGGAAAAAAATGGGTACATAAAATGTTATAATTTTCCTGTGAGAGAAATGTCAGGGGTAATTGGACAAATTTTCTTGCAGAGGGAAACATTGTGGGTGTAAATTGAAATGTCTTTTTGTAGAAGAAAACAAATTGTTGAGTTTTAAAATGTGATTATTTCTTTGTTGGTTAAAAATAGAATGGAAAAAATTGGAACATTTTCATCCAGGGGATAACATTATTGTATGAAATAGAAAATGTAAATGTTCTATATACTAAGAAACCTGATGTTGAATTATAGATATCCAGAATTTTCTTGTAGGTGAAGTATGAAACAGTTTTAAACATAAAATGTGATGATTTTCATTAAGCTAAAATACCTAAAATATGCTTTTTTAGCTCACCTGTCACAAAGTGACATGGTGAGCTTTTATGAACGCTTTCCGTCAGGCGTCCGTCCGTTGTCCGTCCGTCCGTAAACTTTTACTTTAAACAACATCTCCTCATTAACCACTAAGCTCATTTCATCCAAACTTCACATGTTTATGTTCCTTTGGTAGTCAACTGTAAAAAATATTGTTCAAAGAATTTAATATCAAGCAGAACCCTGGTTGCCATGGCAACTGTAAGCAATCAAAGCACAGAAGGCGCTGAATTTGTTTGGGTCTCAGAATGTCAGAAAGGTGAAGGTTGTGAGGTTATAAACCAATTTGTTTTTGTAAAGTGTCACCAATGCTTTCCAGTGTTTTAACTGTAGTAAATTGGCTATAAGACCAAATGCAACACTGATAGTCAATTCAATGTTTATTTGACTTAAAATTTAAAAAAAAAAATGAGTTGCCTCAACTGGGATTCGAACTCCAGACCTCTCGATTCATAAGCGAGCGTGCAAACCCCTCCTGGCCACGGTGAAGTTTATAATGTCGTCAGTCTGAAGAAAACCATATGATTCTAAATTGGGTTTTTGTAACTTTATTATTTCCCGACGCTAAACACTGTTGTTTAACACCGATTGTTAATAATCATGGAAAGCTTACTGTAAGCATGTATAATCTTATAAATAATGAAATTTTCGAACCATTCGGAAAACTATTTGGGCTTGAAAATTAATGCGCCACTTGTCATTTGACAACTTTACGCATTGGGGATCTCCCCTGAATTTTTCGGCGTTAGTGTCCATATAAAGGGAAGTAACCGCTTCAAAAAGTGGACTACTTTTAGGCAATTTTTGCACTTTAAAAGCATTAGACTCTGAAATTTCGCTACCATTATTTGTTTGGTCTGACGACCCAAACAAATAAAAAACTTAAAATATTTCTTTTAAAAAAGAGCTAGAGCTTCAATGTTTGGCATGAAACATTGTCTAGTCAGTGGCTACCAAGTTTGTTCAAATAAAAGCCCTGGGGTCAAAATTGGCCCACCGGGGATGGTCATTGATTTTCCTAATTTTTTGTATATAGTAAAAACTTAAAATATCTTCTTTAAAAAAAACAAATAGGAAGAGCTTTAGATATTCACATGAAATAGTTGATAAACAAATCCCTAAAAAAAAGCCCAACACGAAAAATTGGTAAAATGTTGCAGGCTCGGTTTGATTGAGCGCCTGTTTCATTGGACGGTACTGGGAAAGTGCAAAGGTTCTGTCCACGACCCCTAGCCACCGGCTTAAAGCAGAATTCAACCATTTAAAAAACAGAAATGGTGAAATTTGTGAATTTAGAAAACCTCCGGCGAGTGTTTCAATACGGGGGTTATACATGGAACCTTCAATGTGACACAGTAGTGTCATTCCATGAAAAGCGGCGTATGGTCCCCAAGTAAAAGAATGCGTGTGTCCTAAACGAGAAACTTTCTCTAGTGGGTACCTACCAATTTGTTCAACTAAAAGCCCTGGGGTCAAATTGGCCTCGTCCAAGGAGGTCATTGTTTTTCCCTTGATGTGTATAGTGAAAACTTAAAAAAAATCTTCTTTAAAAAAAACAAAGAGCTAGAGTTAAGATACTAAGCATGAAATATCTTCTAGTGAGTGTCTACTAAGTTGGTTCAAATAAAAGCCGTGGTGTCAAAATTTACCCCACAAGGGGAGGGGGTCATTGTTTTTCCCTTTATGTATTTAGTGAAACCTTTAAAAAACTTCTTTTAAAAAATCCTAAGAGCTTGAGCCAAAATATTTAGCACAAAACATCTTTTAATGGGGTCTACCAAGTTTGTTCAAATAAGGGCCCTGGGGTTAAAATTGGCCCCGCCCCGGGGATCATTGATTTTCCTTTTATGTTTATAGTAAAAATTAAAAAAATCTTCTTTTAAAAAACCAAAGAGCTAGAGTTAAGCTACTAAGCATGAAGTATTTTCTAGTGAGTGTCTACTTAGTTTGTTCAAATAAAAGCTTTGGGTCAAAATTGGCCCGGCTCGGGGGTCATTGTTTCCCCCCATATGTTTATAGTAAAATCTTAAAAATCTTCTATTAAAGTCTTCAAAGAGCTAGAGATTAGATATTTATCATGAAACATCTTCTAATGGTTCTCTTCCAAATTTGTTCAAATAAAAGCCCCTGGGTTAAAATTGGCCCCGCCCCAGGGGCCTATATACAGGTTAGCGATTTCATCATGGCTCTTTTGTTTTTTTGTTGTTGTTTGTTTTGAACGGTTAAAATTTATATAATTCAAACAATGTATTTGTTTTCCGATTGTTAGGTCAATCATAAATTACTTACTTGATTATTTAAATCGACGTTATTCTCTTAAATGCAAATAACATTATTTGCAAAGAAATAAGTCATCTGAAGGCATTTGCATTGTTCTGGTATTAGACAATTACGCCAGTGTGGTATTTTATATCTTACACATAGATGTATTCATAGGTAAAATTTAAATATTTTGTCAATATCGTGTGTCTTTGTATTGTCTTGCGTGTAAAGAGTGAACAAATACAGATACCTAACTCTGATATTAGTTAATGTTTACGAATTTTACGTTTACTATGCTTGTGCAAAATTTTATCCCCGCGAAAGTCCCATACTTATGCAAACGTGAAATTTTGGGAACGCGAAAGTGTATAGGAATACACTAATGTTTATTTTATTTCAATACATTGATTTAATTATGTCTTACTTGGATATGCAATTGGTTCCAACTTTTGGTTTGGATATTAGATTCTTAAAATAATTTGAATCAGAATATCCTTGACATAATTATCTACCTGAATTAATTTGTTTCTTCTTGAATTTTTGTTCACTGAAACAGTGCAATGATTTGTTTGTGCAAACAATTTGATACCCCTTTAATCACACTTTTACTGTTAATAATTTGAATTTTACATCAAGACAACTTTTGCAAATAGTAACATGTAAATAATTTGCAATCGAATATATTAGTCGTATCATCACTAAAACCAATGTTATCTGGACAAATGCCATTTTGCTTTAGGAGGGCCGCTAATAAGAAATGTCAGATTGACCTAATTTGATCTACATCATTGGCAAAATTTGACTGTGTGCGCTTTAATAAAAAAAAATAAAAATGAAAAATAAAAAAATAAATGAAAGAATTAACTTCTAAAAAAAGAATGACTGTCCATATTAAAACAGTTTGCCAGAAAATTAAGTTCTGCTGCACCCACCATGACCATATTGAATTTATTACATGTATTTCAGAAGAGGAACCAGTAGACCCCGAGCCTGAAAACAGGGAACCATCTGAACCAGAAACGCCCGAGGAGAACCAAAGAAAAATAGTTGTAAGCAATCTACCATCAACAGCCCATGATGAATACTTACAGATGTTTTTTGACAATAAACGGAAGTTCAAAGGATGTGATGTTTATAGTGTTGAAATGGATGAAGATGGGACATCTGCCATTATTGAGTTTGAGACACCAGAAGGTAAATGTTTTTTTCGCTCTTTTCTTCCAAAATATCTATCACAAGTGTTAATGTTGTATGCCTCCAGATGATTAAATAAATGATAAAGATATAATAGAAATAGAAAAACAGTATCTAAGTGTTTCAATATAGAACTTATATTTATAAGTAATTTGGCATTTTGTATTGTGTTATATGTTAAACATGATGGTACGACCATATTTCGTCCTTTTTTTAAGTCGGTCTTTTAAGGCTAAGAGCATTTTTCACATATTTTGTCAAGTGAATATATTTGTATGATAGTGCTTTTGAATAAATAAATCACTTCCGTTGTTTACATTACATTTTCTTATAATGTTTTCATATTCATTTGCAGCTGTAGATGGCAATTTAAGATATTTCCACAGTGATCTAATCAGAATTTTTCCCCTTCATTTACAGCTGTAGATATTGTCCTGAGCAAATGTCCACTAAAGATGATGGGACAAGAAGTTGAAATTTCAAAGTACGAGCCACCTCCATCGGTTTTGTTATGCACCGTAGAAGTGACCGGACCGTGTAGTGTGGTAAGCGAAGATTATCTTGAGGGACTAGAAATGTACTTTGAGAGTAAAAATCGATCCGGAGGTGATGATGTTGTTGATATAAAGTTTGATACACTAAATAACATGGTCCTTGTCACGTTTGACAGTGAAGAAGGTAACTATTTACAATAAACCTAATTTCAAATATTAATACTGTTTGTATAAATTATTTATATGTTAAGCTGGGCTGTCTGTAGGAGGGACATAAACAATAAAAACTTAATGGTTTTGTGATTTGATTATATGTGACAGAATCAAGTCATTATATTTTTTTGCTCACCTGAGCACATACTTCTCAGATGCGAGCTTTCGTAGTGGCATATTATCAGTCCTCTGTTGTTACCCACAGTTTGTTTTAACAATTTCTACTAAACAACAGGTTCAATTCTGATTAACATTGACAGGATTTATCATCAGATACCTCTCATCAGGTATGGTTCAAGTTGTAATGTACATAGGAAGGTCACAGAGCTGACAGAGGCTAAAAGTCGACCTTTACAAATATCATTTAAATGATGTCGTATTGGTCAATTTTGCAACATACTTTTTTTCTACTCAGATTCTACAATGCCTAGTGCTTAGATACTTAGTACCATTACTTTCAGCCTTTTTCCACGTTTTCAATGAAACCCCTGGTCGTCTAACTTGTCCCCTCCAGAGGTCACTTATTTTGCATAGACCTACTTGTACTAAGGAAACCACAGTTTAATTGTAAGTGTGAAAGAACCAGTACATTATGTAACTGACCTATATTTAAGTTACATATATAATGTCGTTATCACAAAATTATGGAGGACAATATCTGCCAAATTTATATGTATCTAATTCTAACACTCCATGTGATTTTCTCACTAAAGAAAAAGAAGAAAAGCCGGTGTTAAACTGCCAATAAACACTCGTTTAGGGACTACTGGTTTATGCGGCTGTTGTGTTTTCACCCTCGATTATATAGTTTAAAAAGCATTTAAAAGCAACAATAAAAAACATTTATTTATGTTTTCAGTTCTTATATTTTATTTTCATACAGTAACGAAATAATATCTCACATACACTCATATGACACTAACGCCACATGTTTGATCCATATCAGTTTATAGATGTTTTGACAAAACGGTGCCAATCCGTAAGCAGTATAATGACGTCATCCTAAGTATACAACTAATTCATAAACAAGCTAACGTTATTTCATACATAAAAGAATGATAAATGGGGCACTTATGTAAAGACAATACGACGTAAGTTTTAATTGTTGAAAATTTGATAAATTAACGTTTTTTCTTATTATTTCTTTTGTTAAATAATTTCTAGATCTTTGCAACAGTAGTGTGCGAAAATCGAAAGCGTTTTATAACAGTCGTTTTGATGCAGCCTTCGTGGTCAAATCATACGCATCAAAACTACAAACCGGTGTTAAATAACCGATAAACACCGCTAAGACCGGAATTATTTGTATGTGTTTTGAGGCCCTTAAAGGGTAACCTCGTTTATTTTGAATATAGATAAATACATACATACAAACATACATACATACAAAGACACACACATATTTATAAACAAACAAACACACAAGGTATACTAAACAAACAGAAGCCTGTGATTAATGTTAAATCTCATTTAGCTTTTCAATACATAGTTTTGTAACCTGTTGTCTAATGAATGAAAACTATTTCTAGTCATATTGTATTTAAAAATAATAAAACATTGTCAATAATACCATGTCCATACTCACATACTAATTTTGATATGAAGAAATAACTGTCCCAATGTTTGTCAACCATATCTACCTTGTTAATAATTTTTACGCCCCCTTTCGAAGAAGAGGGGTATATTGTTTTGCTAATGTCGGTCTGTCTGTCGGTCTGTCTGTCGGTAGACCACATGGTTTCCGCTGAATATCTTGAAAAGTATTAATCACAAAGTCTTCATATTTCACATAGTGATTGGTCATAACTAGTAGATGACCCCTATGGATTTTGGGATCACTAGGTCAAAGGTTAAGGTCACAGGGACCTTAAATGTCAAAATGGTTTCCGCTGATTATCTTAAAAAGTATGTATTACAAAGTCTTCATATTTTACACAGTGATTGGTCATAACTAGTAGATGACCACTATTGATTTTAGGGTCACTAGGTCAAAAGTCAAGGTCACAGGGGCCTTAAATGTCAAAATGGTTTCCACTGATTGTCTTGAAAAGTATGTATCACAAAGTCTTCATATTTCACATAGTGATTGGTCATTACAAGTAGATGACCCCTATGGATTTTGGGGTCACTAGGTCAAAGGTCAAGGTCACATGGGCCTAAAATGTCAAACTGGTTTCCGCTGATTATCTTGAAAAGTATGTATCACAAAGTCTTCATATTTCACTTAGTGATTGGTCATCACTAGTAAATGTCCCCTTTTCATTTTGGTGGTCACTAGGTCAAAGGTCAATGTCACAGGGACCTTAAAATGTCAAAATGGTTTCCGCTGATTATCTTGAAAAGTATGTATCACAAAGTCTTCATATTTTACATAGTGATTGGTCATAACTAGTAGATGACCCATATTGATTTTGGGGTCACTAGGTCAAAGGTCAAGGTCACAGGGATCTTAAATGTCAAAATGGTTTCCGCTGATTTTCTTGAAAAGTATGTATCACAAAGTCTTCATATTTCACACAGTGATTGGTCATAACTAGTAGATGACCCCTATTGATTTTGGGTCAAAGGTCAAGGTCACAGGGGCTTTAATTGTCAAAATGGTTTCCGCTGATTATCTTGAAAAGTATTCATCACAAAGTCTTCATATTTCACAAAGTGATTGGTCATAAGTAGTAGATGACCTCTATTGATTTAGGGGTTATTAGGTCAAAGGTCAATGTCACATGGGCCTTAAATGTCAAAATGGTTTTCGTTGATTTTTCCATAATTGAACACTTCCATGTACCCATTTTTGGCAAGTTTCTGTAATAAAATTACCAATTATGTGAGTCAATGGCTAGAAAGGGGGGTACATGTGTCGTTCGACATTCTTGTTTTGTGTGTCCTCTCGATTTGGTATTGGTACTTAATATAATGCTAAGCAGCCTCTATAGACGGCCTTTTAAAATTCATTTAACAAAAATGTATATGCTTCTTTACAAATAAAAGCAAAAGACTGGTCTCATAATCAGCATTTTGTATACCTTAAAGAAATTGTATTCTTGTCAAAAGCAAATGATTATTTTCAAAAAGACCATGAATCATATAAAAAAAGATGTTCAAAGCTTTCAGCAAATTTGTTGCAAAAACTGCAGTTTGGATTATCTTTGTATTGTACCTTATACGAAAGCTTGTTTGTGCCAAGTATTCTGTGTACAGTTCTGTATTGAAACCATTGTAAATTAGTGTTTTAAGTGGTGTCAAAAATAATTGAAAAAAAAGTATTCCAATCTTTATCTTCAAATTTAGTATTAAGTTTTTGTTCCAATTTAAGTTTACAAACAGCTGTACAGTTATTTGATTTTAATATATTATGCATCGGTTGTGAACCATTTTCATTTTTTTTAAATCTGAGATATTTATCTACTGCGTTACCTATGCCTTGAAAATGCAAAAAATTAGCACTCAAATTATAAATTTTATTGAATTCATGGATCTCATATAAATGCCCATTCATGTTAAACAAGTCACCTATACACTGAACACCAGCATTAAACCATGACTTTAAAAATATACTTTTTACCAATCAATATATTTGGGCTATAAAAAAATGGATATTCCAACAATTTATCAGAAAATGGATTTTTTTCACATAATTGAACAAAAGCATATAATTTAAAAGTATGTTTCCAAAATAAGTTAAACAGGATTTCGCTATGGTTTCTGGGTAACGAGAGTCACAATTTAATAATTTATTTATATCAAATAGTTAAGAAACAATATCTAGCCATTTTCCGTTGCCCGTAATGATTCGTCTAATTCAAGTAGTTTTTAATGAAGATATAAATGCATCTAAATCTATCATGTCAAGACCTCCATCTTTTTTATTTTTTATCAAAACGTCTTTTTTAACTTTGCATGGACCTTGCCATATAAAGTCAAAGAATAAAGTTTCTATTTGTTGAATATCAGATTTTGGAGGATTAGGCAATGAAACAAACAAGTGATTAAAGAGTGACAATACAAGAGTTTTAATGACAACTATTCTTCCAATTGGTGTAATTATTCTTCTCTTCCACATTTTTAAAATATTTTCTGCTTTTGCAATTTAACTCAAGCAATTTTGACAAATCTACATGACACTTAAAGCCAAGCATGTCAAATGTTTGCTGATTCCAAGATAATTTCCATTTTGTTTTTATAATATTTGCACTAAGGTTTTCTTTTCCAATCCATACGTTTTTTTTTTTGTCAAAATTAACTTTCAATCCTGAAATAAAAGTAAAAGTGGACAATGTGTCTACGGTTTCATTTAAAGAAGAGGCCGAACTATCTAGAATAATTGAGGTATCATCTGCGAATTGAGATAGCTTATGTTTTACTATATTCATTTTAATTCCTTTAATATTGTTATTTGACCTAATTTTCTGCGAAAGTATTTCAGCACATAAAATAAAAATATAACAACTTAACGGATCACCCTGCCGGCACCCACGCTGAATGCTCAAGAACTTTGATAAAAAATCCATTTTGATATATTGCTGAAAACTCATCTTTGTAGAAAATGCTAAACCACCTTTTGATGTCTTCTCCAAAATTAAAAAGTGACAACGTTATATCTTCAAAAAACCCAAGACAAAGAATCAAAAGCCTTTTCGAAATCGATAAGGAGTAAAAGCCAAAAAATGTTATTCTCCTCTGTCTATTGTATTATATCATAAATTAGTCTTTCGTGTCTCCTATAAATCTGCCCTTTATAAATCCTGTTTGGTCAGTGCTAATAAGTTTGTCTAAATACATTTTTATTCTATTCGGTATGCATCCAGAACCAATTTTATAAATTGTATTAAGCAGTGTTATCGGTCGCCAATTTTTTAAAAATTATTTTTGCTTATCACCTTTAAGGAAACATGTTATTATACCCTGTGTTTGTGTTACAGATAAGTTTCCGGATATAAAAGCATGGTTTAGAGCCCTGCAAACAAAAAATAC